ACTACTACTACTACTACTACCACTACCACTACCACTACCACTACCACTACCACTACCACTACCACTACCACTACCACTACCACTACCACTACCACTACCACTACCACTACCACTACCACTACTACTACTACTACTACTATGTACAGCTACCCTATCGGGCCACGCCGCTCCCAGAAGCGGGAGACAATGACAAGAAGAGAGAAGAGAAGAGAGAGACATCGCAAGGTCAACAGAATTGGGCATGGCGTTGCAAGTCCTGTGGCCTTGAGAACCACCTTTCGCAATGTTCGCATTCATGACGGCAGTTGTTCCTGGCTGCACGTGACAGCCGTTTTGCACGGCCACAGTGATGATGGCTCAAACAGGGGGGGGGGGGTAGAGAAGGGGGGAGGGGGTAGAGAAGCGAGGTGTATGCTTGTTACATCAGAAATCATGGCAGTATTCACACCCTCTTGAAAAAAACAGTCAGCTAGGAAAATCTACCCAGAAGGTTTGTTATGGCAACTCAAAGTATCATGTTGAGCATGCTCATACTTGTTGAACAACATACCTCATCCTCGGGTTTAAGATAGCTGGCACCATGGGCAGAGCGTTTGCTGTGTTTAGCGCTACTCCGGGGTGTGAGAGAAGCCATGCTGGAAAGCAGCGTGTCTTGAGCAGGCGTACACACAGGATCGTTTGGAACTCGAATGGCATCATGTGGCAAGCGGTAACCCAAACTGCCGTTGTAAGGTCCTAAAAAACGAGACATGATAGTAGAGCAAAACAAACGGAGGGACAGAGACAGAAGAAATGAGATAGAGGTAGAGAGAGAGACATACACACAAAGAGAGATACCGAGAGGCCCACGGAAAGAGTCACGCAGAGAGAGAGAGAGAGAGAGAGAGACATACAGACAGAGAGAGAAAGACAGACAGACAGACAGACAGACAGACAGACAGACAGACAGACAGACAGACAGACAGACAGACAGACAGACAGACAGACAGGCAGGCAGAGTGAGAGAAAGAGAGAACCGGGAGGGGAAACTGTCAGACGCACCAATTTCCCCGGATGCCTAGTTGCACTGATTTAGCAGTGAAAGTATCTAACCATGCTTGAGTGAATCACCTGGCAAACATCATCCACTGTATGTGCAAGGGGAGTGATGCATTGCAAACACCAGTCACTGCTATACTCAAGAGTTCAGACCATGCTGGCTAGTAATACATGAGGCTCCAAGGCAGGTTGCACATTGACGTTGTATATCAGTGTACTGGTGCTAAGCACCTTGTACAACTTACCATGTTTCTGTGGGACGGGTGAAGAAGATGACGATGTTCCATTCCCAGTGTATGACTGGATCTCATGATTACTGTACGGTCGAGGATCAGCCGGGTTTCTACCACGACGAAGCTTGGGATTATCGCGAGCGTTGTCATAGAGACAACGCGTGGCTGTACTGGACACAGCCAGCGCTGTACCATGGCTTGGTGGTGAAGTCTGGATCTTGGTATTGGCTGTTGACTTCGCTGCTTGCTTGGGCGATGAGCGGAAGTGTGTGGCCATGCTTTGCACACGCTTGGAGATGGTGGGTGCAGTCTCGTACACTGCTGCCCTCGTGGCCACAGCAGCACGTGCTGGCAAGACGACTTCGTAGGCGTGCCGCTGGGCTCCCACGACGACCACTGCTGGATTGTCGCCGCCGCTCGGTGTTGAGAACACCAGATCTTGATTGTCACTGCTCATGCCCGATATTGTGCGATTATCGCTACCCTCCACTGACGACTGCAGGGTAGAGGCTGTGGACCGACTGTCGATTGAAACACTAAACACAGCGGCCGGGGTGTGACATCCATTACTGCCAGCAAATCCGGCGGAGTTGCTGCTGGTGCTGGTTTTGAGGGGAGAGCCGAGCATAGCGAGATCTGCGCTTGTACCACTGTCTTGCCGAGAAAACGCCTCCGAGCTCTTGTTCTTGTACGCGACGACAGGCTGTGCTGCGTCGTTTGCCTGCCTCTTCTGGCTCTTCACAGAACCTGCAGTACACGCAGAAAAGCAAGTGTGGAATCCAAGACAAGTGACAGCAGCAGGATGCTTCTGAGCCTATTGCCGCACCATTGGAAACTACCGATAGTTTAGTTTCTATATTGATTATGGCTTTGGTCCTTGCTGGAAATGGGCTAATAGAGCTAAGCAATTCCTGCATGCAACAACAAGTTGTCAGACTGGAGCAGCTGCAAGTTGTAAATGATGAAATACAGTGGCACATCAGAGTAACACCCCTCCAAGGGCTGTACAAATCTGTTCAGTATAGCCGAGTTAGTGAATGGCCGAGTTAGTGAATGGCCAAGTTAGTGAATGGCCAAGTTAGTGAATGGCCAAGTTAGTGAATAGCCCAGGTCTAGTCACTGGTACAGTATGATGCCGGATCCTTGGTAACAGTACATGTGTAGGTTACATTATAACCATTGAATGATACACATCCAGAGTTGAAGATGGTGTGTAAGGGTTTTCACATCTAGAGTGGTATAATAACTACTATAATCCCTTGGCACGTGTATGTTTTGCACCCAAAAATGGTTTCGATGATATCCCACCAGGTTGGAACACATCCAGGGAACTACTGCCGTGGACATGGAAATCCGGTCGCACGCCTAGCGGCCCCAGGGCACTGGCCATGCAGCTGAGAATAAGTGGTACACACGATGCGTTCACATGTATGTGCTACAGCGCGCTGGTCGCATCGGAGCAACAATGTGCACTGCATGCAGCATTCTGTAGATCTACGTACTGAGGCCAGGGTGCCGCCGCCCCCAGTCAATCGACTGGATTTCCACGTCCACGATAGTAGTACCCGAGTAGTTTATAGAGGACAGTTACCTGTGTCACTGTACATACAGTTAGTGCCTGTACCATTGAGACAGTCTCTAATTTAGCCAGTAAGCCATGCACTAGAAAATATACTGGTCATCGGATCCGGTGAACATTAAGTTAGAGCCTATTTGACTTAGTACTGCCTTAAAGATGCTAGTGCTTACTAATATTCTCGTAACCTGGCGTGACAGCGGGTAGGAATCTCTTTGCATTATCCTTGGCACGGCTGCGCTGGGACCGGCGAAGCAGCAAGGCAATAAGCAGTAGAACGAGGACTGCTTCAGCCAGCACCACTGGTAGCCAGGTATAGAGGTAAGACGTGTCCTTCTCAACACCGCCACCCTGCTTATCTGCACATTGTGCGTCTGTACTACTTGGCTCTGTGCTTACTTCGGACCCGGTGCTGCTGCTGCTGCTGTTGCTGGACAATGCTGCCGATGTTCTTCCAGCACTAGGTGTAGGCTGAATAGCTTCAGTGGTTGTCGGTGCTTCAACACTGGCAGGGATGGTGTTCAGTGACATTTGTGTGCCGTTCCCCAATGGGTCCAAGCCGGGTGCTGCGATGCACTGCTGGATGTCGGTGCCAAACCTACTATCATTGGCTACAATAACAACAGCAGCAGCAGCAGCAGCGACGACGACAAAGACGACAACAACCATGATGATGACAACAATGATAATGACACAGAGCATGACATGGCAGCACACAATTAGTTACAAAACAACATACACGTGTACTATGAGTGAAATGGTGAACAGGAATATGGCTACAGAAAGAACTCAACAACACCGCCGCCTTGCCTGGTCCAGAGTCTGCACAAGTCTAAACTAATCTGAGTTCTAACTCAGTGTTTGTGAGCCAGCTCATAGTGTGAGCTTCCACTTTGGCCCGGAAGTTGTTATTTATTGACTTCTGACGTCACCACTTTCAATCCCTACACTATAGCAGGCACTGAAAGTGCGCCGAACACAGTGCACAGAACACAGTGCACAGAACACAGTACACAGAACACATTGCACAGAACACAGTGCACAGAACACAGAGCACAGAACACAGTGCACAGAACACATTGCACAGAACACTGTGCACAGAACACAGTGCACAGAACACAGTGCACAGAACACAGTGCACAGAACACAGTGCACAGAACACAGTGCATAGAACACAGTGCACAGAACACACTGCACAGAACACAGTGCGATCACTGTCATCACTCTGCTCACTTTCATCCACAACTGGCTACTGATCATCCACCACAAACTCACAGCAATGCTAGGAATGGAAAAATAAAGGAAGGACAACATGTTACGAATTATGACCAAGTGTCCACCAATGTAGCCAAATCATACACAGTCAGCAAGTGCGACAACAAGGCACAAAACTGACAAGGAGTACTGATATATTCACTGACCTGACACCTAGCTCCCACACATCTACGATACAGTAATCCTTGTCAGTTTTGTGCCGTGTTGTCGCACTTGCTGACTGTATATGATCTGGCTACATTGGTGGACACTTGGTCATAACTCGTAACATGTTGTCCTTTCTTTATTTGCCATAATTACATTGGCTCAACATCCGACTTCAAATACGACTAGGAATATGAGACAAAAAAAGTCGATGATGGCTATTCATGAGAAAACACCCCACGCTGTGCTGGGCTGGCAACTCAACACCCAGTCCTCTGTAGCCAGTGTAGGCCAGGCCTCCAAGGTCAGTAGGATATTCTCACAACTTACCAGAAGCATTGGTGATGAAAGCGCCGAAGACTAGGCCTCGGTGCCCCTGCACGTAGTACAGGCCGTGAGGAAATGTTATCGTGCTATTTAGACAGCGGACTGGATCTTCCTTTAGCTCGTTGTCCACCAGGAATCCTGTCGCTGCCTCCGAGTACGACATCAGAACACCACATTGTTCCACTCTCTGCAGCAAAGCAATGACAGCAGAGGACATCTTGGCAACTACACACACACACACACACACACACACACACACACACACACACACACACACACACACACACACACACACACACACACGCGCGCACACGCACACACACACACACACACACACACAGTGTACATTGCATGCACATACTAATAGCAGTCAAGATTTGGACCGGGTACTGTCAATACTGCAGTGA